TAAGAGATTAGACGTTCATTACGTGCCAAGCTAGACCAAAACACACANTCCTTTTGTGTTCTTTTTTTTTTTTTTTTTTTTTTTTTTTTTTTTTTTTTTTTTTTTTTTTTTCATTATGAATAGCAACAACATAAGGTTGAACTTTACTGGATTGTGGCAGCAAGGCTACACTGCCACGGTTATGCACATTCAAATTAAGAAAAAAGTGGTTATCCAAGCATATTTAAGTAGATACTATATTAACATAAAGATGCCTACGTCCTTATAATTTGTTTAGGTTAACGACAGTCATACTCATAAACATGCTTATCAATCTACATCTCTCTCATTATATGAGGATCCATCCACTTCTTTGGGCTTTATTAATAAAAAACCACCTTGGTTGAATCCAGCAACAAAATAGTAACATAATTATTAACATCTTCGTGGTTCCTATGAAATCATTAAAGCAAAAAAGGGATAATATATAAAGGGCATACCTGATGTGAGATTAACTGAAACTGAAAATTATTATATTCATGCCAATACCTGTCGTTCAATGAATACAAGAAGACAATCACCAACCTCAAAGTATCTCAAGAATTTCTGTCAACCAAATATATCTAAGTTTGAAAGAAGGAAATCAGTTACGGAGGTATAAATGAATACTACCGCCAGTGAAAGAGAACATCTTGATTAGGGGGTCAAAACAAGGGTGGGGGTGATATTAGGCTAGTAAGGAAATTATTTGTAATTTACTCCATAGTTTTCTAATTTGATTTAGTTATTCGGCTTACTTTTTACCCTAGGTTAAAGGTTGGTTCACTATAGCAATTATTTTCACAAATTCAATGATCTGGGCTATAAGTATAAAGGTTTGGTTCCCCACTCGTTTTTTTTTTTTTTTTTTCCCTTCCAATATTAATAAAATAACTCCTCACTTTTCCGCTAGCTCTACTAGGGGAACACCAGATTTTCCCAAAAAATTGTTTATAGAAATACAAAAACCTCTGGAAGGGTAATTTCAACAGAAAAGTTTCCAAGAAAAACGGCTTCACCAGCCTTCAGTTAGCGTCTTGTGTCTGACCAAGTGTAGGTAGGGCAACATCATTTGTTCTTCAATTATTTGTATGCACAGAATGGTTTGCATATGATATGTCAAGACTCCAATCTTTCATGGGTGATGAAAAATGTACCAGGAATAACATATTAAACTTTGTGTCATCAAATTTAGAGGCAAAGTTGATTCAAAAGGAAACAAAGAATATTTTTAAGACGAAGTTGCCATGTGGCGTGAGAGAAGGGATGTAGCTACATATAAAGCATCTTTTTGGTGATTGTTAATTCCTTTGTTTTGTAATTAGGTGTTTACAGGATATTCTCCTAAATTGACCTGTTAACGTAATATGGGGAAATTAGTTAGACTCCTTAAACAGGGTTTGGATACTCTCTTATTGTGTAACTTTACAATAATCAATAAAAAGTTTAATTTCCTTTTATAACAAAATGGCAAGTACCTCTCTTCCAGTTCCTTAAACCGGACAGATTTAAGCTCTAGCTCTTTTAGTTCAGCATTCACTTCTGCAAACTGGTTCTCTGTCTCTTTAATGGCTGCTTCAAGCCTTCTCTCTTCTTCCTCAATCTAAACCAGAATAAATAGAAGATCAAACAACCGGACTCTTTAAATGAAAATAATCCACTCAAGATGCTATTGATTAAAATTCATTTTCTCTATTTTTTTTCAACTAAGAAACTAATCCAATTTGTATCTTTACTAAAAATATATGAGTAAATTTTATGAATTTGCTCAATTAAAGGCAGCCTCAAGGCTAATTGGAAAAATTGAGGCACAAGCCTCAATATTAGTTTTAAAAATTCTACAAAACGTGGACAATAAAATATTAAAAAAGATATTGTATGAAGTATCTATAAAATCATGCCTACAATGGCAAATTTTTAAATTAAAGATTCTAACAAGTCATTCTAGACATTATCATTAGTGTCACTAAAAAGATTGAGTAAAAGAAATAGTAATGATAGGACATGTTACCACAACATATAATGTACTAAAATTTGGTACATTAGGATTTTTATATGTTTGAAGAATGGAGCAGGTTAATATTATTTAGAAGAGATGTGACGTGATCATGCAACCTCTTAGGTTCATACAAACCTCAAACGAGCCAAAAATGCACAAACACAACCACATCATCACCTATGTGCACACCTACAAGTCCATGTCCACAACACGACCACAACAAACCGTGCGCCTCACCAAGAAAACCCCTTTGTGATTCTTGTGCATAGCTAAGAATTTGGATGTCTTAAAAACATTTAAGGTCAATCGGTCATCAAATTTGTAGTGTTTCAACTTTGGAGTTAAAGAACTTGGGTTCTGCTAGGCACTTGACCTAAAGGTAATCTACATCTAACTCTCCCTTGGAGTTGTACTAATTGTTTTGTTGGTTTTAGTGTTCGTGTGCTAGGGTCGACATAACCAAGGGGCTCTTAAGGAAATTTACTCTTAACAACTTGGAGCAATTATTGTAATCTCTAGTTCAGGTTTCTCAATACACAATCCCTTTGTAATGGATTTTTCTTTTCTATATCAGCATGGTTGTATCTTTCATTAGTCTAAACAAGAGAAAAAGTATATTTCTGCTTTTGAATTTTTGGATAACACCAAGCCTTCAACTCAAATAAGATCAATATCTCAAGAAAAATTTCTCCACGACTTCCTACGCCATGCCATCCTTCAAAAATAAGATAATCAGCATCTAATGTTGTTTAGAAAGAAATGCCTAAATATCATTGTGAAATTGTACCTTTAATTTCTCCTTAAGAAAATCAGCTTCAGAAAGAACGTTCCGCGACTCCCCCTCTAAACGTTTGAGGCAACCTTCATATGCCTTAATGTCCCTGTTCACATCTTCAACCTCCTTATCAAGTTTATCCGACAAAACCCTCATGCATTCCAGGCACAAAGGCTGCTCAACCTGGACATAGAAATCGAGTTATACAGTTTTATAACCAATTCCATGAAACTTATGAAAAACCTAATCAGCCTCTATGTTGAAATGAAATTGAAAAAAAGTTCCAAGTTATTTTGCTTTAGAGTACCTGAGTTTGAGTTTTGGAAATCTCAAAAGCACGTTTTAAGATAGTTATGGTAGTGTGAAACCCAGAATTATTTGGTTGCATTGCCCCATCTGGCGATGGTATATGCATTCCACCTCCATCAGAGGGAGATTCATTCTTATACACAACTACAAACGATTCTTCCATCGTTTTTCCAGTTTGCCCTGTGTCAGCCTGACCAGCTCCCTCACGAGGACGAGGAACACCTTGCGATTGAGGCCTTTGCTTCGGCAGCACAACAAAAGAATTATCCATGCGCGTGGAAGCTAACATGCTACTGGCACCATGAGCTCCAGACCCTTGCATACCTGAACGTGTTCATCACCGGAACATATGTTCATCAAGAGAATCATACAGCTCGAAGTCAGAACATTAAACTAATATCCATTCATGCCTTAAAACCCCAGAAAATCATTTGATTCTCTCGCTGCCCACACGTAAATTATCACACTTAAAAATCATTCACACATCTCGTCTCCTCTTTTAAGTCCGGGAAAAGGCGTTCTAGTTAAGCTTACAACACATAGAACCCGTTATCAATTTAGGCAACAATCTTTCCCATGTGGTTTCTCCAACAATCCATGGCCTAAATTCACAATAAGACGCACTGTACTCCTTCAAACTTCAATTTGCGTAGCACCAAACTCTCCCTCAACGAAGCTAAAACTATTCAATCCAATTCTACCGTTCAAATTATCGCATCAAAATCTGTCGCGAACGGCAACAAATTGCGTAAATAACTACATAAGCTAAACTAACTGAAGAAATCACATCTGAAATTTCAAAAGCGAGAAAATAAAACATTAACAATAAGAGTCAAGAAGTTAACCGGATCGAACAGAGGGATCGCTGATGAACTTATCAGCATGGGTGTCAACGCCGACAAAGCATAAGGATTGGCCGCAGCTCTGGCAGCCGAATCGATGAACATTCGGGTCCCCAGGCAAGATCCGACCCATTTTCCGGTCGCCCATTTTCCCTTGCAATCGGATTGATTCAAATGAGAAAAATCGCCGGTGCTCTTGCGTGGAAGCAAAAGAAAACCAATGAATCCTTCGCGCCTCGCAGTTTGTTGAGGAATGACTGCTTACATAATTGATTAAATTAAATTCAAATAACAAAAATTAAATATCAATTAATATGTTCATGGATTTTAAATAATTATAAAAAAGGGTTAAATACTCCAAATATTTATTTCTAAAGAGCCTTTAAATTTTAAAAATAAGTAATTAGTCTAACTCTTAATGATAAGATAAGATTCCGATTATATTGTTAATCGAATATCTAAAGGCAAGAACATTGTTTGAGATTCGAATCACTTCACAAGCAAGATCGATCATGTCTAGCTTAATGATTCTTGTTGATCAAATATCTCAAGGCAATAACACTTGCTTGAGATTCGAATGCAACTTACATAGAATTGCAAAGAAACTTAGTCATTGGCTAAAGAAGAGCACAAATGCTCCTTTTTACTATATTTTTCAAATCCCCTTCCAAATAAACATACATGACTTTATATAGGCTCAAAAATGAAACTATTAAAGGCATTACAAGAGTGGTAACCTTCCTACTTTATGCCCATAATTAGCCATTACGTAAATGTAACCTAAAGTAAATAAATGTATTATAACTCACCCAAAATTTATAACAATCAAACTTCTTTCTTCTTCAATGGCATGAATTGAACACCTTTGGATAATTTTGACAACCTTTTATTCACATCTTTTGTTTTGGATAATTAAATATAAAAAATAAAAAAAAATTAAATACTAAAATAAATAAAACAATATAATTTTGTTTTAAAATTAAAAAAGAAAAAGAAAAATGATAAATCCCGGAAAATCCGATCCCGGTCAAGATAAAGAATCCAAAATTAAATATATTTATGCAATTTTGGGCTAAAAATTCCAGTTTCATAGTTTTTGCGTCTCTGGGAGTTCTTCGAATTCTCTCTTGAAACCAAAATTCGAAGCTCCACTACAATGGAGGCGGCGGCTACCGACATACCCAGAAGCGGAAGTGGTCGGATTTTCAATCTCTTCGTCAGGCTGTTAGATGGGAAAACCCTAGCTCTGAAATTGACATCCCCTTCTGTACACGGCCATGCCATCAAGCACCGTCTCTTTGAGACCACTGGAATTCCCCCAAATCACCAGCGTCTTGTCACTGGTGTCCGCCAGATCGAGGACGATTCGGTTGTTTCATGCTTCGATGAGTCTTCGGGTAAATTTCTTACTGTTCATCTTCTGCTTAGGCTGCTTGGAGGTAAGGGAGGGTTTGGATCGTTGCTTCGTGGGGCGGCCACGAAAGCGGGGCAGAAGAAGACCAATAATTTCGATGCTTGTAGGGATATGAGTGGGAGAAGGTTGAGGCATGTGAATGCTGAGAAGCGATTGGAGGAGTGGAAGGCGGAGGAGGAGGAGAGGAGATTGGAGAAGGTGGCTGAGGAGTTTCTGAAGAAGAAATCCAAGGTTGGGAAGAGGGGAGTTGGGGATTCTGCGACTCAGAAGTATGTAGAGAGGTATCGGGAGGAATCTGCGCGTTGTGTGGCTGAGGTGGAGAAATCCGTGAGAGATGCGGTGATGAAGGGTGGGAAGGGAAAAAGGAAGGGTCGTTCGATGCCGAATGGTGCAGATGCTAAAAAGTTGAAGATCTGGTCAGTATCTTGGTTTTTGCTTTTCTTTTATCCCTTAGATTATGTTCTAGTTTGCTAATTGTTTTGCCTTCAAAGTGCATCTTTTATAATTATTTTGGGAACCAATGATTTCGTAGATAGTATAGTTGTGAAGTTGCATTAGAGGGGAGGAGAGAAGCCACAAATCAAAGAAGACTACCCAAAAAAAAGCCCTGCAATTGGTATAAAGATCAGATGAACTATGAACTATAAACTATTAAACTAGGATCTTAATTTGTACCGAGATTGGCCAGCAAAAATTGTATTGTCTAGAAAGATATCTATGACATTTTCTAAATAGTTGAAGAATCTATGCTTCTTTTCCTTTATGAATAAGTGACTGAACAATTCAGTATCTGAAAACCCTTCGGTGCTCTTTGGGAAGACGTATGATTATTAAATGTTGGGTGGAGGATCTTCCAAAATCTAGATGCAAAGGGCATCTGAGGAACACATGCCGTCTCCTCAAAATCTTTCTTGCAATGAGTTTTTTGGTGGAAAGGAAGTAGTCTGGGATATAAAGAGTGAAGTGGTGCATCCTGAATTCACCAATCAGGCTGAAATCTGGTGGAGCTTTATTAATCTTCCTTTTATACCGACGAAACTATCTTTGTCAACTCTACTTCATTTTTGCCTTTTTTCCCTCTTGGGTTTTCGTTTTTTTCTTTCTGTTTTTTATTAGAGTGACTTCTTCAAATAATGAATCTATGCTATTTGATAGTGAGCATTTCATTTGTTATTGCGATCCACTTCTGTTCGAGAAAAGGAAAGAAACCCCACCTTAACGTTTGGATCAGTTCCAAAACTGGCATCAAAAGCAACATTAACATCATTTTCTTCTATTAGTCAACTATTGATGAATTATTTAGAACCTGAGCATTTTCTTGTTTGCTTGATGGTGATTAATTTCTTTTATTTTCTTTTTCCAGGATGGGCAAGAGGAAAATGGGTGAAAGTGACAGCGACGATTTGGATTCAGATGACTCTGATAGTGAAGAGGAAAACGAGAAATCAGTCATCTTGAATGATGGTTGTCAATCTGATTTAAATAAGGATGCCGAAGGGAGTTCAGACTCTGTTAACTTTGGTAAACATGGGTATGGTTCTGGGGAAGCCTCCAGTGAAAGTGGTTCTGAGGAAGAAAAGAACTTGGCAGTGCAGGAGACCATGGAATTAGTCGGAAGCTCCAGTGAAAAAGCTCTTTGTTCTGAACAGTTTGATGAGGTTGAGATTAACGATCAGACTACTCAGGGTGCAGTGGTACGTTGCTCAGAGGCTGTGGCTGTTGCTGTTTCTGCCGATCAAGAAGATGAGGTCGTAGAACAGGGTGTTCATGGGGTTGACATCACAAACATAGAAGATGTAGCTGCTAATCCTCAAGATATGTCAGTTCTGAACAATGGTGAAATGGTTGAAGATTTGTCGAGCCTTCCTGAACCAAATGGCTCGCCAGTGTCTAAGTTGAGTGATCATGAGGAAACAAGTGCAAGTAAAAGCAATTCAGATGCACCACTGAATTTTGAAGATTTTAGTTCTGCTGCTGACATGGAGGTATGATCCAGAAATCGAATTATCATTTTCTTATGCACCTTTTTCATTTATTTTTTACGTCTGCTAGGTTGCATCGCATTGATAAATAGTTTCCTAATATATTTGTCTATTACATGACAAGACCTTCACACATGGGTTAAATTCAGAAAATTTCATTAGGTGGACTAAATTTTATGTTCTAACATTATATGTTTGAAATCCTCCCATTCCAAAACTTGGAGGGCTCCATAATGTGCAACACGAACTAACCATCATGTTTGTTCGTGTTACATGTTATTGCTTTCGGAATTGAAAGTGAATGAAACTCAGATTTTTTTTTAGCATAGTATGTTCATATTATCTCCCCTTGATACACAGGTTCTTGGATTGGAAAGGCTGAAGTCGGAACTGCAAGCAAGAGGCTTGAAATGTGGGGGTACTTTGCAAGAGAGGGCAGCCAGGCTTTTCCTGCTCAAGTCTACGCCTTTGGACAAGCTTCCAAAGAAGCTTCATGCCAAAAAGTGACTGTAAAATTTGACTTGATTTCTCTCCATACTTGTGTAATGATATTAGGATGAACTCAATCAGTGGTCCAAGTAGAGTCAGTTTCTTTTAGTACGTACAACAAATATGATATTATGAGGTATAGGGAAGGTTTGAACTTCCGAGTACAAGTTGGTTGTGTTGCGTTGCATTTGTACACTTCTGAATGTTATAATAACTAAAACTATGTTTTTGTTCTTTGACCAAATAGGTTTTTAGTGTTGATTTTGTAACTTGGATAATAGGGTCATAACTTCTAGTTTATAGTTTATGATTATATCATATTTTGACGCAGTTGTAATTATGAACCACTCTGTGAATGAGTCCAATAAAAAATATTTTAAAAAATAAAAAATAATTTCAGATAAGTAAATCAATCAATGTGGTGAGAAAAATAAATAAATCTAATTTTAAGTTTTTGAAGTAATATTTAATATATTATATATATTAGAGATTTAAAGAAAAAACATGTATTTCAAGTCTCTTTTAAGTATAATTTTTGAAGCATTCCTATATATATATATATATATATATATATATATATATATATATATATATATATATATATATATATATATATATATATATAGGTATATATAGGTATACGTATCACGAAAACGTACGTATCTATGTATATATATACAAACATATACATATACATATATTCATTTAAAACCAACCTAAAGGCGGGGGAGAAGAGACTGCCCCATCTCAAAAGACTAATTATGAAGAATGAAGCATAAAAAGGGAGGTTAGAAGAGTATGGGAATTAGTGGCTTTATCTTTGAATACCAAACTACGACGATCTTACAAGAACTTTCCAAGTTTTCACTCCCAAATAAAGCAACACAAAAGAAAAAAAAATTAAAAGTAAAGACAAAAGAAGTATTCATAAAATAAACACACTATTTAGAGGAACCTCAGAAGCCTTAAGCATATAGCATCCCAAGAGAGCCGCAGATTGAATTTACACTTTTATTCCTCCTACGCTACAAATTGCTATACAAATGGTGGGGGGTAGTAGAAAGAGGAAAACGAATATGATATACCCAAACAACTGCTGCCTTCTAACTTCTTTCTTTTCAACTTTAAAAAAATGTACCTGCTCTCTCCAGTAGATGTTGCAGAGGAAAAGTAGCAAAAGAATTTGAGTTTAGTTTGGTTGAATCGGTGTGTCCGAGTTTGAGTTAGTTCATGAATTTCCGACAATTGGGAGCTTTACAGCGGCAAGGGACTTTGAGGTCATCAGGTTCGTCTGGATCGAACAAGTAATCGTAGCTGTTTGTTTGTTTCGTACAAAACCCAAACATGTCAATTAATGAACAGAAAAAAGAGAAGCTAAGTAAGAGAATTGAAACTTGGAAGAATGCGGTTCTTACGTTAGTTCTTCTCCAGCAGCAACATTGGTCTTAGCAATGAGAACTATTCGGCTTTCATTGTCACCAACGCTCATTATCCTTGCATAGCAGTTCGGCATGCACTGCACCATACACACACACACACATACATACATACACATCGCAAATTCAGTTTTCCACACCAAACAATCAAACAATTACAAGAAATAATCCCAACTTCGAGCATATTGCTTACCGAATGATTTATCAAGCGTGCTATATTTCCTTTGTCTGTGGCATCAATTACAACTTCCTCGCTGATCTTGAAGAGCTGCAAACATATAATCAATTGAACATTGGTGATTAAAATACTTGGACAATAAAATAAAACCCCAGCAGCCTTTGATAGGTAGAAAAGAACTCTCTTGGATATGAACAAGGGGAAGGAAAAAAAAAAAAAAAAAGAACACCCTTTATCCTTCCAGGATTTTGAAAGGTTGAGGGTAGCCAATTGTTTAGTTGCTTAGGTTGAGTGATCTCAAGAAAGTACTTGTGGGAGGTATATTGTAATTTATATTTCAATATATTTGGTTCTATCAGATAAACCAAATTAGATTACAGCATTGGAAATATAACCATTTTCCAGTATATGGAACACTTCACGCATAAATAAAAATGATTAAACAAGTAACTCACGTAGCAATCTTTTCCTTCTAATTGGTACCGAGCCTCCCTCAAATCTGCTACACTACGCCGCACCTGCTCACCACGGTACTCAACAACCTAAAGGTGGATGAACATTCGGTTAGATAACTAAAACTTTATCTCAGACAACTACCACAACCCCATGATTGTCTTTGATGAAAATGCAATATGTTAAAAGCATCAAGGAACGCTAAAAAAGGAAGCACAAAGTACAGCATTTTATGTTGCCTCAGAAAGTTCATTGAACTGTTTGCTCAAACTTCCTAATCACATAAACGTACACATTTGAATGGAGCTCGCAAGAAATCAGAAACATCCTTCCTTACCATTTCACCCTCTTGAACATTCCTACGAGCAAAGAGGCCCCATCCATGAATTCCAGATTTACCGAAACAAACTCGATCCCTTTCAGTTCTCTGAAATCATACGAGAAAATTAGTTAAATAGCGACACAATTCATTAAAAAGATGAAATATACAAAAAGAAGGGATATTGCAAGAGGAGGTAGCATTTGCCTGTAAGTGGCGAAGTCGTTCCTTAAATGAGGAAAATAATTGGGGGTCTTCTCCTTCCTTATAAGAGAAAGCAATGTATTCATTTAATCACTCACTTGAAAATGAGCAAAAACTGTGAGGTTAAACTAATCAGGAAAAGAAAATTACTCTGCGTGTACTCAAGTTAATAATTTCATCCAATGGATGATGGCTCGGCCCCATAAGTCGATGGAATATTGGTCCTTCGACCCTCTAAAAAATACGGAAAATAATGGTGAGGCACAGAAATCAAAAGTTAGTGGTCAAGGAATAGAAATGGTCAAACGTGGACAACCTTATCTGTTGGTCTAACATAAACACGACATCTTGCTGTAGAATGTGGTTCAATATCATTAGTTTCGGAGGCTGAAGACTTTGACAGTTCTTCTACCTTTGATGTAACCAGTCTTGATCCCCTGGAACATCCCTTCTGCTTTTGAAGTAAGTTTCTGCCTGCAAAAACCCCAGAAGGACTGCGCACCACTAAAGCAGCATCAGGGTTTGGTGTTCTGCATGACAAAAGAGGATTTTGAGCTCAGGATCTATATCAAATCAAATAAGAAGGAAGAGAGAGAGAGAGAGCAAAATAACTTCAGTAAAGTAAAGACCTTACCTATGAATAGCACAATATATCAGTTTTCTCGTAATTTGCCGCCCTTTTTCCTCCGAGCACTGCAACTGAAAGCAAATATACATCAAGTTTCGAAATTGTGAGCCTGTTGCACCCTTAAAAAATTTCCCAACTCAGAAACAGAGATCGATCTATTTCTAAAAAAGAAACTGCATTGGCATGTATAGAGGTCAAAAATTATAACACCATGTCAACCTACCTACAGAAATACTCTGCAGAGTAACGATTACATAATATCAACCATATACACTTACCTCCATGAAGTATCCTGCTCTCGATGCACACATTGTATGGAAATAAGTAGCACATTTGCAGCACTGTGCGCAGGAACCATGACTTTGCTTGCAGATTACACATCTCTGTTATCCATAAAAAGAAAAAATGTAAAGACAGCAAACATCTCTTTGCAGAATAGAAAAGCAGCATTATAAATCCCAGAGGAAATGCAAACATAAAAGGCTAAATATATTATTTTGTCATTTATGTATAGGCCATTCCTCAATTTATCTCTAACCTTCTAAAAAAAATAATTTATAAATGAACATTTTGAACTCATTATATCAAACATGAGGTGATTTTATATTCAATAGAGAAAATACATTCTAGTGTCACATCATTTTGCTAATGAATTTAATATTCTAGCACAGTCAGGACTTCCATTGTGGCTTTTTAATAACAAAAAATTGAAAATAAAAAACAGATGCATAAAATATGAAATTCAAACTTTTAAAATATTAATGATGGAATTGGAAAAAAAAAAAAAAAAAAAAGATGAAAGAATTATTCTTTGGATAAACTAAAATTATCAAAATGTGAAACTTCAAACCCTAACCATTTTCATTGAAAAAATAGAATTTAGTACAACTAAGACATCCTTATCAATCAAAATGTCGGTTAACTCATCAGTAAGAAATATACGGTATTGGCAGACAGCTGACAATTCTGATTCAAGACCAGGAACGATAATTTATTTTAAAATGGTAGAATTACCTTCAAAAAAGAATTCGATGGAATTCTAAAAATGCCAACAGCTGGTTCCATTTTCTCATGATTCAAGAAAACAACTTCAGGGCGAAACCAAGCACACGTGACATGAACCCAGAGTCCATCAACGTCAGTAGGCTTTAAAGCACCACCTGAAGCAACATACAGTAATTGAATTATAATGCCTTTAATCATATTTCTAAACAGCGGTGGAGCTAATAGGAAGGCAGATGTAATCAAATGAGAGGTCACTTTATCACGAAACTAGCACATAAATAGTATACAGTAAAAGGTTGCTGCTGAAAGCACAAACAAATGAAGATGGGTAGGAACATCGAGTACAGAACATAAATCAGAAAAAGAGGGGGAAACAAAGGAGAAGAGAAAATTGACAAAAGAAAATTACTCAGAGCCTCAAATGCAGAAGTCGTTGAATTCTGCTGTCGGAGAGATAAATGGAAAATAATATACTGCATTTGAGACTCTGGCGACGAAACTAACAAAAAGAATATGATTTTTGTTTAGCGTTTGCACCCTAACTAGGCCGCTGATGGGACAGTTCAAATTCCTCACATGTCCCTAGTTTCCTTTTAGCTTGTAATCTTAATATCAGAGCATCCAAAGTTAGTATAGTAAGATTTGTCAAATCCAATTCCGCTACTCTTTTTATGAGCAATTTTATCTATGTTGTCCTGCACGCATGTTCATGGAAACATAGCAACTATGGTCAGTGCCTGATTGAAGGTGCTTCCCATGCTTCAAGGGTGGCTGCTGCACCATGTTCATCATGTCACCAAAGGAAAACATCCAAGCACCTTAAAACACTAGAGAATACATTTTGTCTTTAAAATGATAGCAAGCCAACACCACTATTGTGCATGTACAAGCCTATTTCCATTCATGACCATACTTCCCTTTTTTCAACTTAGCAGCCTGTCATTTCCTAAAGTGACTCTTATAAAGGTCAAGATTTATAGCAACCTTAATTGAGAAATTTCAAATATAAAAATAATTATTC